TAAAAATCCATTTCTTATAAACTGATAACAAGACGTCTCCAATTCATCATACCTTTGTCCACTCTCAGAGATTCAGTCATTCTTCAAGATAGTCCTCAGAATATTCCAGTGCTTTGGAATAACTTTGTTTTGGTGGGAAAGTCCAAGATAGAAAAATAAATAAAAAAGGCCTTTGGGAGACATCAATGACAAGAGGAGGCAAGAATAGGAACAGGAGAACACAGGACAGCACATTTCATTAGCATGTTTCTTGCATTAAAACATTTCCTTAAGAAATGCAAAATCTGCCTTTCCATGTTTCACGAGGAAATAAAGAATGACTTGAGCAATAGCAATTTTGAATCATGCAGAAGACATGGTGGTATAATTCTCCCAAAGAATGCCTCCATTAGTTTTCAGTCCAACTTGAACAAAACACTTTTATTACAAACTTCATGGGTACCACATTTCAGTCAGAGACTGGTTGTATAACACTTCAAAATGGGCAATTTCTGGCACAACTTATTCTTAGCCTGAAATTGTAAAAAAGTATCATATTTTTATCAGCATTTTATAAATTTTGTACAATTGAATTGTCAAATCATGGCCTGCTGGGCACACCACTGTAAAGCATATAAATATAGGTGGCGTCCTTTCATTTTTCATCCATTTGGTACTTTTCTACAAAAGAAATGGATGAAGCTTAAAATGTGGTTATCTTAAATGACAAAAAGAAGCTACATGTAGAAAGGACTTGTATAAAATCAATACTGCAGTGAAATGCATGTTCCTTCCAAACAGGAGGAAAGGACTGTCATTTTCTCCACATACAACTGAAACTTGCTTGCAGAAAACTAATTGAAGATGAGTGGTTTTTTTTTTTTTTTTACAATTCAAGGTTGTTTGCCAAGATGGCCAGTAGAAGGCTATTCAATCTCAGTAATTATCTTTAATATAATCACTCACTAAAGGATAACATGTTTTTGTCTCCATTGTCATTTTGAGGAGGGATAGCTGCTTGCATGAATAGTTCTGAATAGCAATGATCTTTCCTGCTGCATAATTCCACCAAAGTTTCTCAAAGGTCTATCAATCCTTGATTACTGAAAAGTAAATGGTATCCATTCCACCAAAATAGATGGTATCCTGTGTTCTTGAGTTGCATTTCTAGTTTGCAGATTTGAAAAATAATTTATGTACCTGAGAAATTTCAGATTTATGTTAACTCCCCAATAATATCTCTGCTTTGTCTGAAGTGAATTCATTTTACTAGCTCTTATCCAACTGTAATTATTTCAGGTGCTGGTACAATATTTTTATGGTTCCACTGAACTTCACAAGAACATATAGTGATGCTGAACGTGAGAAGCAAAGTGATAAATCATTTATCACATCCTTAAATGACCTCACTCAGCAATGTCATATAAGTCAAAAAGAGAAATAGATCCTGCAGCTCATCAGAGCATTATGATAATCTTTCCAGTACAACCTTATAAAATGGAAAAAGAGAAATGGGAAAATAATGGAACACAGCATCTCTAAAGCAAATCTTGTACCCCATAATCAGGGAGAAAAAAAAAAGGAAAAGAAAAACCTCCAAGGAAGTTATCAGGTAATATTGCCTCACCTTCCTCTTGAAACAACAATCATCAATCACTTTATGCCAAACCCAGGCACAGAAACCAAATTAGAATACATCAAAATAATCAGTGTGGAAAAGAGCATATATCTGGCTTTCAGCAGAGGAAGAAATGTTCTCTTTGAGACCTGATGTGCAATGACAATAAAGGACTGTCTCAAGTCACATAAGTCTTTCTTCTCTCCCCTCCCCCACCTCTTCCTTCTAAGACAGAGGTCCCCAACCTTTTGGGCATCAGGGACCGGTTTTGTCGAGAGAGGTTCAAGGGACGTGGTTTCATGTACTGCCTGCATCCTGCGGATGGGGCTTTGCTTGTTTGTGCGGCCCGGTTTCAGGCATGCTACGGCCCGATGCCAATCCCTGGACCGGGGGTTGGGAACCCCTGTTTTAAGACATTTGTTGTAGAATCTGCTAAATAAAAAAAATAGGATTTAAAGCCTATACTGTTTTACTCTCATGTAAGTGTGCATGTAGCAGAAGTTTTGTAAACACATTTAATGTATCTCTTGAATTTGCTCTGGTTTGCAATTTCCAATCCTACCAACAATTTCTCTTCTGCACTAAAGCATCATCCTCATAATCTTGACTTTTATTTAAAATGAAAAATACAGAAATTACTTACCAAAATCCTAAGACATATAATCCCCTATCAGAATTTTTTAATAAATATTTTATTAAGTTTTTATAGTTACAAATTTTTAGTGCTTAATAAACAACATGTTGTTTGGGTTCACATATTTAACACTGATAGTAATACAACTTCCATTTCTACTCTCTATTCTGCTTTTCTAGCCATTTATAAATGTTATCCCATGTTCGAAAATATTCTGTATCTTCTTTCTCTTTCATTTTCAATGTAAGCCTATCTATTTCTGCACAATCCAAAATTTTCCTAATCATATCTTCTTCTGATGGTGTTTCTTCGTTTTTCCAATACTGTGCAAATGTAATTCTTGCTGCTGTTAATACATGTAATATTAAATATATACATTTTTTGACATAATTCTCTGTAATTAGGGCATGTCCACCTGGCTTTTGCCTACATTTCCAACAATTACTGGACATATTTTTAAACATTTTTGCTAATCTTGCAGGTGGTAAATGCCATCTATAAAACATTTTATATAGATTTTCATTATAAGTAGCTGCCCTTGTTATTTTATAGTTTCTTTCCCACAAGTTTTGCCATTTTTCTAATTCTACATTGTGTCCAATTTTTTTTGCCTAAGTTATCATTGTTTCTTTAACATGTTCATCTTACATCTTTAGATTTAACAAAAATTGTAGAGTTTTTTTAATCAATTTTTCATCTGATGACAATAGTATCTGGTCAAAGACTGTTTGATCTTTATAAAAACCATATGTTTTGGCATCTTTTTCGTATCTTATTTGCATTTGCAAGTGTGGCCACCATGATAGCTCAATGCCCTGTTCTTCCAATTCTTGGTTAGTTTGTAATTAGTATTCAAAATGTCTCTGCATGTCACAAGTTTCCCAGAGTTGATTAAATTTGGGTGCACAAACACTTCCATTGTCGAGATCCATACTGGTATTTTCATATACTGTAGATTTTCATTTTTATCTTTTCCCATGTCAGAAGTAAGGCATTTCTTATATAGTGATTCTGAAAGTATTTGTGGATTTTGTTCTTCCCATACCATAGAAAAGCATGCCATCCAAGTTGTAGGTCGTGTCCCTCTAGATATAGTAGACTTTTGTGTTTAAAGGTTATCCACTCTTTTAACCATGTTAATATAGCTGCTTGATAGTATAGAACCCAGTCTGGTAGCCCAAATCCTCCATTTTGTTTTGCTTCTTGTAGCAATTTCAGTCTTATTCTGGCTTTTTTCCCTTGCCAGATAAATTTCAAAATCAATGCATTTTGCTCATCAAAATTTTTTTTCTCTAATTTTATAGGTATTGTTTGGAATAAGAAAAGTAATTTTGAAAAATATTCATTTTTCACTGTCGCTATTCTTCCCAAGACTGATAATTGTAATTTTTTCCATCTTTTCAAATCCGATTTTATTTGTTTTAATAGTTTAAGATAGTTATCTTCTTTTAATGTCATACACCTTGCTGTTAAGTATATCCCCAGCTATTTAACTTTCTTAACTATCTGGAGATTTATTTTTTCTGCAGTTGATTTTTGTTTATCTGTAAGATTTTTAACAATAACTTTAGTCTTATCTCTGTTTATTTTCAATCCTGCTACTTCTCCAAATTTTTCAATCTTTGTCAATAATTTAGGGCTTGTCTTCAAGGGATCTTCTAATATAAATAACAAATTGTCCATGAATACTTGTAATTTATATTTTTCATCTTTTATCTCCATACATTTAATTTCTGGGTCCTGTCTAACATTTCTATTTCAAACACTTCCAGAGTTAAAATAAATAATAATGGAGATAGTGGACACCCTTGTCTTGTACCTTTTTTAATATTTAAATTCTCTGTAAAATCTTCATTTACAATTACTTTAGCCATTTGTCTATGATAAATTGTTTTAATTATATTTATAAAGTTTTACCCCAAATATATTTATAAAGTTTTACCCCAAATATAAGTTACAAGTATTCATGGACAATTTGTTATTTATATTAGAAGATCCCTTGGAGACAAGCCCTAAATTATTGACAAAGATTGAAAAATTTGGAGAAGTAGCAGGATTGAAAATAAACAGAGATAAGACTAAAGTTATTGTTAAAAATATTACAGATAAACAAAAATCAACTGCAGAAAAACCAAATTTAGTTTAATTGTTGTACCATAAATTGCCAGTTGACAGCTTTCTGTGCATCTAAAAAGATTAATGCCATTTGTTTCCCTGGATGCATTTCGTAATATTTCAGAATATCTAAGATCATTCTTAGGTTGTTCTTTATTTGTCTCTTTGGTAAAAAAAAAATCAATTTTGGTCTGGATGTATAAATTCAATCAAAAATCTCTTCAATCTTTCTGCTATTATTGAGGCAAAGATTTTGTAATCCATGTTTAATAACGATATTGGTCTATAATTCATCTTCAGCAACCCTATCAGAATTTTGATGTCTGTTTTTTTTTAATGAATGCACCACCCCACCCTCTTTATTTGAGAAGATTTTCAGCCTAAAATTGCAGATAACTCTTGTAATGAGAGAATTTGGAATTGGGAAGTTATATTCCAGAGTTTCAGAAAATAATCAGTTAGAAGCACAAACCTGAAACCCAGGCTATGCAAAACAGTTTACTGCAGATAAAGAGGCCTGGCCTATATTCCTAACTGCAGATTGGCAAAACACTGAATAACGAGGATGAAGATAATGAGGACCATCTGTATGGTTCTAGTAAAGTTTCAATACCTGAGCTGAAGGCCCACCTAGTTTAATGAAAATGATCTTACCTCCCAGGGTAGCTGACAGCAGGAAGTGGGTCCCATACTTCTTGATAAGGTTTTCTGTGATCTGTTGAAGAGTTGGCCTACGTCCTAGCAGCCTTACATTTCGGAAAAATTCAGGGGCAAGAGGCAACGGGGAACCAAGAAAATTCTTTCTTTCAACAGCTAAGTTGTTTACCTTCCAACGGCCAAATTCCCTAGAAGGAAAGAAATATCATTTTAAAAATGCACAGTTCATTTTTTCTCCTTGCACCTATTACACTGAGGAGGTTAAATCAGCACTAAATCAGGGATGAGCAATTCAAACCCTCCAAGTTTGTTTGGATTTCAATAAGAAGAAATTGATGTTATTTTGGATTGCTCAATCACAAGACATAGTAAGAATTAGAATTCTTATTACTCAGCTGGACAAGATACTAAACTATCTATTCCTGCATTAACCGCTTATAATAAGCAACAAATAAATTGAAGGGAGATTGCTCTCTTATGAGAGAAAAGCACAGGATTTTTTTTTAAATAATGCAGTTGGTTTGTTTCATGTTATACAGTGCAACTATCATCAACGAGCTGATTAGTTTCCCAGAGTAAATTATTTGCATTCTGTTCAAATGATTGATTAGAATGCCTTTTATTTGTCTTATGTTGCAAAACAAAGCTTTTTCCTGTAACTTTTTCATTCAACTCAAATTTCTGCTTTGTGATTAAAAGTGGACTGAAACTTTGTTGCTCATTAAATTTCCTAATTTTCAGTTCCTTGCAGAGTGATTTATGAAATCCATTGAATTGCAATTGCTTTAACTTTCCTTCCATAATACTGAAGGGTAACTATATCTAATTAGCTACAGAGTTGTGTGGCCTTGTTCCAGTATAACATGTGCTCTCTGACTATAGAGGGAAGCAATGGACAAAATATGTTTCTATACTTTTGTGATGTCATATGTGATGTTGTAATACAAATACAAAAGGGCAGAGTTTATAGTACAATCTTATGTTGTGCATTTTAACATTCTGCCATCATCAGTGAAATCAGCGAGGTCAATTAACCAGTGGAACAGCTTGTCTTCAGCTTGTGGATGCTTCATCACTCAAGATTTTTAAGAAGAGACTGGACAGTCACTTGTCTGAAATGATATAGGGACTCCTGCTTGAGCAGGGGGCTGGACTAGAAGACCTCCAAGGTACCTTCCAGCTCTATTCTGATTGATCATGATTAGAAACAGACACCTGTATCCCTGATTAGGAGAGTACACTAAAACACATACTAAGAGAAGAGGAAACACATTGCTGCCTGGGCAAATATGGAGATCTCATAAAAGAAAGAGAATGATTCCCGCTCATATCATATATAATTCTAGTTTATTCTGTTTGCATGACCAAGCCACTCCAAGATACTTTTTTGTACTGCCCATTCATTTTTGTATTTCATCCACATTTTTTCAGCTCAAATTCATTGTTGATCCAAACCCTTTTTTCTACACATTTCTTAAACAACTCATTCAGTTTAATTTTATAGTCTCCTGACTTTTACTTTCATATACAAAGCAAGCACAAATATAAACAGTAATTTTCATTTCATTTAATGCAGGCTCATTCTTTGCAACAGATTGGATATTATACATAAACTTTCTTTTAGCATTTGTATGACTTAAAATTGTTTCATCTGTTTACCCATCTTAAGTGAATATTCTAATAAGATGTCTAAACTCTACTTGGCCTTCCCCCACTTTTATTTTTTTTTTTCATTTTCCTCATCAAACAAACTGCCTTGGTCTTTGATACATTAATTTTTGAATCAATTCTTTCATAGCATCATATAATTTTATCTAATAGTTTCTGCAAGTTATTCATTTTTAATTAATAAATAATCACATTCCCAATCAAAAGCCCTTTAATGCCATCTCTAATATTAGTTTGGACATCACAAGGGATGTTCAAGGGAAAATCACAGTTTCTTCTCTTACTCTGGGCTTAATGTTGAATTATTTGCTCAACAATTTCTTCTCACATGTGTTTCCTTTCCTTTATACAGAATTCTTACTACATTCAGCAACCAACCTCCAACTCCATATTTGAGTCAGTTTGACTTCTGACAACTTTCTGGATAAACCCCTGCAATTTTCTTGGCATTATTTTCAGAAGTCATATGGCATTACCTTCTGCCTTGGGATGAGAAAAAGTGATCATTCCAAAGCCCAAAGATAAGGCAGGACTAGAACTCATAGTCTCCAATGTTCTAGTCCAGTGTTTCCCAAACTTGACAATTTTAAGGCATGTGGACTTCAACTCCCAGAATTCCACAGCCAGCGTTGCTGGCTGTGGAATTCTGGGAGTTGAAGTCCTCATGCCTTAAAATTGTCAAGTTTGGGAAACACTGTTCTAGTCTATTGCCTTACCACTATACCAAACTGGCTGTCTATATTATATTTATGTAGAGCAGTGGTTCTCAACCTTTCTAATGCCGCGACCCCATAATACAGTTCCCCATGTTGTGGTGACCCCCAACCACTTATACATCACCAGGTGCCAGGGGCGTGGCCAAAGAAAAGGGGGGAAAAATGGCAGACAGCCTTGTTTGGCGACCCCCGTGAAATGGTCGTTCGACCCCAAATGGGGTCCCGACCCACAGGTTGAAAACCACTGATGTAGAGCATTCCAAGTCTATTCACTTTATTCCATACTTTTTCTAAATCAAAAAATACAATACACTTTCCTTCTCACATCAATGATCGCTAGCTGACCTGCTGATCAATAAAAAATTGGACAATGTACCACCTACCCAGCTTAAAGCCAGACTACATTTCCCAAATTTTGCTCATTTTTGCTGCTTCTTTCCTTTCATCAGAATTTGGCCAAACCTCTGCCCAGGCATCTCTTAACACAATGACTCCACAACTTTATTTCTCAATCCCTTTCTTGCCTCCTTTTGTACAAGGAACAATAATTCCCATTATTCCAGTGATCAGACATGTTAAATAAATTGTACAGTCACTTCGTAAGCAAACCATAGTCGGAATTTAATATCCCTCCATAGTTAGCCTAACTCGGCGGTTCTCAACCTGTGTGTCGGGACCCCATTTGGAGTTGAACGACCATTTCACGGGGGTCGCCAAACAGCGCAGTCCGCCATTTTTTCCCCCTTTTCCTTAGCTGTGCTACTCCCTTTTATTCTATTGGCTTTTGAAAGCCAATAGAATAGACTCTCTTGAATAGACTCTAATTCTATTGGCTTTCAAAAGCCAATAGGAATTGTCCAGGCTGTCTCTGCCCTGCTGAGCCCGCCAAAAGTCCCATTCTGCAAACGGTGCTGCAAGTTGTCTGCAGCGAAGGCAAGCTGTCTGGAAGTTTCCACCTCTCCCGGCTGAGCAACTACTAAAAATGTAAGTAAAAGAGGGCCAGAGATGGGAGGCCGGTGGGCGCAGGGAGGGTTGCTGGCGTGCGTGGGACCCGGCAGGTGCCTTACCTTGCTTGGGCTGGGCCAGCTGGTGGCCGAGCCGATAGTCGGCCTGCGCTGTCTCTGCCACTTGCCAGCTATGCCTCAGCCGGCGCAGGGGGCGGCACCACACATGCGCTGCGCTCCTGGGCAGGGAAAGTCCTTGACTTACGACCGGTTGGGTAGTCCTCAACTTACGACCGGTTGGGGTCGCAACATTAAAAAGGTTGAGAACCACTGGTCTAACTATACCACAGTCTCATCCTTTTCCAACATACTCATAGCATGTTTCCCTATGGTTTCATTCAGAATCATTTCTATTGTTTAATTTTACTAACTCCACTGGAGCCTCCTTGTGTAATTCCCTTCATCTACTTCCAAAAGGTTTTGTAAAAAATTTGATCACTATTGCTCACCATTTTTCTATAAGTCTTAACTCTAGCCTGAGCTTTTTGACTGCATTCTTTGCAACTGTCATTATCTTTCTTATTCTTGACATATATATTTTTCTCCTGGCCATAGCCTCTTTTACTTTATTACACCAAACATACTTGCCCTTAATGTAACTCTATACATTTCTGCATCATCATTTTTCATTATTATAGAAAATTCTTTTTCCATTTTTACATTCACTTTCCATTGGCAGGTTAATCTATCTTCTGAGACTTTCATTTGAACTCATGCTTTCTTTCTGTAGTTGTCTTATTCTCATTCTTGGCTTCTCCACCACCATCACTATTGCCTGCCTTTTGTGGATCCTTAACACCACCAATAAACTACATTCTACATTCACAATTACAGCCTGACTCATCAGCTTTGTGTTACTCAGTATAATTATCTTAATGTTTATTGTAAACAGTATATTCAGTCAGGTGTTCTTTTTTTTTAAAAAAAAAAAAAAGTCCCTAACTTAAAGAATGTGTCCAAAATCTGGGACCCATGACTCCTCAGAGAATGCAATTTGGGAAAGCTGTGGCTGCTTCGAATTACTAGCTGCTGAAAACCAACTGATTTGTTTTTTATGATCACAAAGAGGCAAGAATTTTATTTATAGCTTTTCAAAACTGCTAAACTAGGTTCATCCATTTCTCCTAAACCAGATGAAAAACCAAAATTAAATATGAAATCAGATGTGGGAGAAAAATGAATGGTGGTTCACTCAGGTAAAGTTTCAAAATTTAATTCTTAATTTTTTTCCTGACAGGCTGCATATGTTTAATAGAATAGACCCTACATGATCTTACCAATGTTCTAAATACTTAACATAATAAAGGTATCTAATGCAGATAGATGTCATTTGTTTCATTTGTTTAGTCCATTTTATATAAGAATGTATCAACATTTGAAAATTTATTTACTGTATTAGTGAAACTGAAACAATTTGAAAATAAAAGTACATCAGAAATATGAGAAATAAAACCAAAATAATGTCTCCATTTTCTAATAAGTATATTTTATTAGATGCTATCATTCATATCTATCATGACAGATTTCAAAATTCAGTTCACAATCAAAGACCAAAATGATGAAAAATAAATTAGAAAGTCAGTTAAAGAGTAGATAAACATGGATTCACCCCAAAGTTTACAGTTTTCTGGAAACAAATATATCTTTATAGCTTGTGATTTTTCCAGCAAAAAAGGCAAAAAAGGGCTAATCTCAATTATTCATCATTTAGCCTATGTGCCACTTTATGACAAAGTGTCATAAAGAGATCAAAGGGAGAGGGCAATTCTTTTCCATAATAAAAAAGTGTATTCTAAATTCAAACCATG